CAAGCACTTGTACACAAGCGCGGCTTGTGCAAAGGGACTTGCGGACAAGCGGGGCGCTTGTTGACAAGCGGCTTGTCAACAAGTGAATTCCCCTTACAGCAAGCCCACACAAGCTGGCACAAGCTCCTGCTGCCGCCGTGACTGTACCTAGGCCAAATCATGATTTTATGTTACCATTGACGCATAGACATGATAGCAACGCAACCCAGGCTTCTAAGATGCCAGTCAAAACCAGTAGCAGACACGCATGCACACAGGTGCCGGCCGGTGCACATTGCAGTGCGTAACTAAGGCGGTGCTAGAACATCAAGCAGCGTGCACGTCTTGCGAAATGCTGTTCAATTATGGGAACAGGCATACAGCAGTTGTTTAACAAGTACAGGCGTACAACACCAACAAGCCGCCGGCACATCTTGCTGAGCACATGTTGCCGCCAGAGCTCAGCTGCAACACGTCGCATTGCCGGGAACGTCCAAACTTCTGTTCGGGACTGTGAGGGGCGCGCCGTTCTTCATTTCTCGCGTGCGCGCGCACTGCCATGTGCCGCGGCTAAAATTGGGACTTGGCTCGAAGTATGTGGGGATGATCAGGATACTTCAAGGCTGATAGTTGCCAGTGCGCTGCAGGCAACGGGCGAAAAAGCAAACATGTGAGTATCTGACAGCGTTCAGAAAATGTAGGTCGGCATGCTGCGCACAGCGCATTGCGCGCGCTGTCCCTGGCAGAACCGCATGTTAATTCTGCCGCATTCACATGTCAAGGAGCGAGGCCCGGTTTGCAGGTGGCCAAGGCACCTTGATGCTAGATACTGGCATCAAATGGAGCTTGTCATAGGATCTACCTTCTTTCTTCCTTGTGCGCCGGTGCTGGGTGGAAATGGCCCCAGTTATCACTCTTGCAGGAGGCTGGTGTCATCCTGAGTGCCTGAGTCTTAGTGCCGGCCACGACCTTCAGCAGTTGGTCGAGAAGGCGGTGCGAACAGTGGCTGCATTGATGACTGGAGCAGGCGAATCATGCTTGTTGGAGTGGTCAAGGTTGCCTTGGGCTCCATGAGTGGTAGGTGCGGCATTGCACCACTTCAAAAAGGCAGCCCGCCCCAATGGCCAGCCCAGCGCATCGCGCACCTCAATTTGGAACTGCTTAACTTCATCAACTTATTAGCCACGCTGCCATGACGCGAGCCGCCGCGTAGGCAAAGGTCGACCTTCACATCATCCCTGCCGGGCTCACAATAGCAGGATGTGCCCGATACCGGGTGCTCTGACATATCTATACTCATTATCTTTCATGCAAACGATGGCGAGCTGCATCTGGCCGCAGCACTGCAAGCTGGAGCTCGCGCACTGCAAGCTGGAGCTCCGGCGGCATGATCTGTGGTGTTGCTTGACGCTTCTGAGCTGCTGAAGTGCATTTCCTATCAATGTGATCAAGGGCGCATTCGTGTGATGGTTTGAGATATGTTTGGGCAGCAGAGGATCATGTGCTCAGAAGGTAGGTGCCTGTTGGGCTGGCAGGAGGCTGGAAAAACTTGATCATTGAGCAAAATTAACGGGGATAAGCGCATAGCCTAGTGTCAATACTTAGGTGAGCCCTCATACACCACGGTGTAACCAGATAACCCCAAGCTGCTGCCCGACTTGCGCCCCAAGCTGCCGCCCCCCCCCCCGCAGCACCGACGCAAGCGGTATCCCCACAAAAATGAGGCGACCGTGATGCAGGCCGCATAAAATTTATCGAGACATTAAAGTATATTAAATTATGCGGGACTCGCTGCCAAAGTCGCCCGTTCACGCTTTGGCCGGGCAAGCCTCGCCCGGCTTGCTCGCAGGCTGCCCCGCTTGAGCAACAAGCAGCAACAAGCGGACCGGCTTGTCCACAAGCCATCGCAAGCCGGCCGGCTTGCGATCAAGCAGATCCGGCTTGTCGGTCAACAAGCGGCCACAAGCCGCGACAACTCGGCTTGTGGGTTCTCGCAATCCAAACTCAATTACCATAAGCTACGGCCAAATGTTTCCGACGTGCCCGGTGGGCATGTTGCGCCGGTCTGCCACCAGCACGCCGACGACACCACCGTGCACACGGCCACAGCCGCGGATGCCGCTGTAGCCCTTGCCGAAGCGGCGCAGCCGTTCTGTTCCGCAACGGGGTCGGTGCTGAACGTCGGCAAGTGCGAAGGCCTCACGCTCGGCTCCCACCCGCCGCTTGAGGGGCTCCACGCCGGCACGGGCGTCACTTTCCGCGGCCCCGCAGACACCATCGGACACCTCGGCGTGCTTCTCACCAAGGGCGACCGCGACGCCGCGGCCGGCCGGATGTGGCAGCGCTGCGTTGACGCCGTGGCGGCGCGCGCCCGCCTCTGGAGCGGCGTTGACCTGTCCCTGCTCGGGCGGCTGCACATCGCCAAGTCCACCATGGCGTCGACCGTGGTACACATCGCGTCATTCGTGGGGGCACCCGAGCGGCAGGCCGCGGCACTTCAAGCCTTCATCGACGGCTACATCTACGGCAAGCCCACCAACCCAGCCACCGACGACAGGCCCCTGATCCACCACCCGCCCAGGGCGGCCATGTGCCCGCCGCGGG